TTCATGCCACGCAACATTATCAATATTTATTTATTTCATATCACATACATATCCTCATGTCCTTGTTTAAGCAACAAAATGAGACCAAAAAATGCATCACACATACAAATCTCATGGGCACAGCCATCCTCATACAGAGGGTCTTGAAGTGCGAAAAGTATACCTTTAAGGATCGTGTCCTGAACAGAGCTAAATTTTAAGGAAATGTATTATTCCTAAATAGGAAGGCAAGGCTTTCCATTTTGTTGTGAACCTTTGGAAAAGTGGTCAGGTCACATGACAGCCTTGACCCCCTGCCCCTCCAAGCCATGCCCATGAGGCCAGACTAGAGCAAAATACGAAAATTTTGATGAAAATAGAGAACTCAATGCCATAAAGCATACGTATTCACATAGGATACACAAAAAGCGACCAGAAATCCTTTAAAAAAGGAGTCAGAGATCATACAGAAATGATGAACAAGTACATACTGCAGTACCAGCAGCAAATGCATTACTGCAGGGGTGTCAACCTCGATTTGGCTGAGGGCCAGATAGGTTGGTGCAGGGATGGTTGGGGGACACATAAACTAATCTCACATCATATTTTTTATGTGAGAAAGTTGAAATTTGCAGCAATTTTCTGAAGCCTACTGCTGAAGAGGACTTTGCAGGCTGGACGAAATGGAATGGCGAGCTGGATCCAGCCCGCAGGCCGCCAGTTTGACACCCCTGCATTACTGGTTAAAACTCAGGTAGAGATAACTTCAGCATCAATTAACAGATTATATCCAAAGATTGGACAAATGTTAGTTACTGTGGCAAATATTAAAATTCCATATCATCACTGTATTGGTTTGAGGAGGAAAGTATTCAACTCTTTCTGACAGAAAAATCACATCTGAAAAAATTCATCTATGCATGAGGGAGTTCAGGATCTCCATTGTCTGGTGCAAAGGGGAATATTTCTTAACTTTAATTCTTCAAACTGAAAATAGACAAATTCTTTCCCTTTCGAAAACGTCAAGATTTCCTATTTGCCCTTTTCTCACACCTGCAAAAAATATTCTGAACTAATTCAGAAAACAACTTCAGAAAATCAGGGATATAACTCAGGTGATAAATCAAGGAATGACATTGCTGGCACAGAGGCTTATCTCAGAAGGCTGTAAAATGCAATGCAATAAAAAAAATGCAGAAACTTATTTATTATGCAGTGAAACCACTGCAGAGCCATATTTAACAGAATAAAAATACTTTTATGGAAGGATGACGTTGTTTGTTCAATCCTCAGAGCTCCAGTCAGGCAAAACAGAAAACAGCATTTGTTAGGGTAACAGCACATAGAGTATATTTTCTTTAAAATTCCTCTTGCATTGAAGAAATGAAAAATGATATTCTTCCACATGCAATTTATTAACTTGGAGCCAGGTCTTCAAGTCTCCATTCTATACTTGGTTAGGTCAAGGACTCATACCAGACACATTAATTTTCTTGCTACCCATCCTATGGCTTTACTCTTCTTCAAAGGTGTCCATAGCAGGTATTTCTTCTCTTTCATAATCAAAATCAGAGGAACATCTGTTCCAAATTCTACTACCTGGATAATGATATATAAACTCAAGATCAGTTCATATATGCATCATAATTTACTCATGTTGGGATCACCCAAGGGATGACCAGGTAGTAAAGGGGGTATACTTATGCATGAAGTGCTATCAATGTTACATGCATGTTATAATTTGGCATAGCATGCATTTGGCATGTTCTACTTCTTATGTAATGGCTACCTTTGACAGCTTCCTGCTAAGCATTCCCAACAGTTTTCTCTCTGATCCCACTTCCCATGCTCAATTTCCTTTAATAGAATCAATGACTGGTTGAGTTCAAATTTTATGAAGTAGCACCTCAATAGGAAGCAGTCAAGTACACTATGATCTGCAAAGGCAGCAACCAGCAGAGTGGGATGAAGGACTAATGAAGTGTAAGGGACAATACATGCAACTAGTTACTTTTTGTGGACCCAATGACAAATTTCCATTAGGCTGATGCCAAGATTCACTTTATTTGTATATATAATTTTATAATGAAGAAAAAATGTAGAAATTCTTCATTCCATTCCACATTAACCAGTCTTATGTACTGAATACCTCTGGAGTATGTGAGGGGCCACCTTTGAGTTCAATCAATATTGAATTTCACATAAAAAACCTTGAAATACAGCTTTTGGTGAATATACAGGGAATTCAAGGAATCAGTTTCAATTATTTGATATCCACAGGAAGTAACTAAAATAGTAATTTGTAATTGTAACTGGTTATTGTTTGTAGAAATTAACTCTACCAGCAACAAGTTTCATTCAAGTGCTTGAGTATGTGTGGCTTATGAACAGTTCCTTAAAAGTGATTTACCATCCATACTACCTGAAAAGTACTAATAAATGGCAATTGCATCATGAAGGTCAGAAAAAGAACTTATGATGTGAATAAGAGATTAACATGGATTCTTATTCAGTCAAAATAAAATATTATCACAAGGCTGCCATTCACCTTGAATGCATAAAGAAATTTAGCTCAGCTCCACTGCACTGTTGCTGACTTAGCTCCTCAATTCAGAGGTTCATGGCATAGACCAATTATAGCATTGAAACATATATCAATACACTGCACAGTCTGAAATAAGTTACTGCTCAACTGTGGTTCAATATTTGCTTTGATATATGTATTTATGGATAGATAAAATATCTTCTGAGTTTTGATTTAGCCAGATTCCTGAGATGAACTGGTGCCAATATCCATTTTCAGTGGAACCAGGTTATAACTGCATCAGTTATGAGACCTTGGTTATAGCAATGAAAAATGCCTAATCCCAGTCTGAAGCCATAAGACATGTGTATTTATACCTTGCTTAGTGCAAGCTCAGTTAACACCAGCAGCTCAGTCTTAGCTAAGTTGATTTGTAGTTCCACACACAAAATTACCAATATTGTGAAACTACCTACAAATAATGTGGAAAAGGGTCATTATAGCATATATACCATACCATTTATCATTAGAAACCATGTGGAAAAGGGTCATTATAGCATATATACCATACCATTTATCATTAGAAACCATCAGAATGTGGTACTCCATGCCCAGAAGGGAAGGCAGCCATTTTCACTGTCAAATTAGTGTGTACCTGCCAAAGAGTTAATTTCCTATTGCTCTCCCAACTAACTGGGACTTCCATCATTGGGAACATGACCATTGGCAACTCCCAACTTCCTCTCTCCTGAAATCTTCATTCCTGAAGGGATTGTAGGTTAGTGAGGGAAGGAAAATCCCTTGTCATCAAAAGATTAACTAATAATCAATTCCCACTATTAGGTCTTGCTGACAGCATCCAAAGCAAAATGTAAAAATTGGAAGTTTTCACAATTGAGTACCACTCATAAAATGTGCAGACATCAGTCATAACCAAGGACTTCTGAGGAATTCAGAAGTACAATATAATTCTGTTAACACTTTTATGTAGATGATACTTCCTCTCATTGCCACTTAATCTTGGCTAAGAACAAATTTTTCCTGATTTTTTCAAAGGGGATATAGCCAAGTTTAATTGGATTTCATGAGCAGGTATCTGAATCTATCAATGCTATTCTCAAACAAGAAAATAAGGAGTTCTTATGTCCTTGGTTTATAATAGGAAAGAATCAAGCATTCCCAGAGGTGAGACTTTTCTAGAAGCATTATGAAGGTGACATGGTCCAAGTACTTGCTTACTTTGAGTGACTCCAGCAGTCAATTTGGAACCATGACTAACTGGTTCTTAATTTTCAAAGCCTAACATGCCTTGAAGGTGCAACTCCCATGTCCTAGGTGAAGGGGGGAAGTGCAGATTTTTCCCTATTCAGCCAGACTAAGTTGATCACACTATCCAGCAAAGGAGATAACAACAGAAGAAAAATGTCATTTGTACAGAAGAGAATAATGAAATAAACTCATGGTTGCCCTATAGTACTCTTTGTCAAACATGCTCATGTGTCAATTAGGGCAGAGCAATCGACACCTCAGAACACACAATACAGTGAAAAACCTGATTGCTGTTCTGAAGTTGCACATGCAAAACATCATGCACTAATGCAATTATACAAAAATCACAGAAGATTGTTGAAAAGCATCACAATAGGTTGTAAAAGAGAATATAAAATGAGTTTACATCTAATCTAGTCAAATTTAAAAGAGGGATACATGCACCAGATGGATTTCCTTCAGTAATGTCATCTGAATTCATAATAGTGAGCTTGGGTTGATGATATTCTCCAACACTGTTGTCTTATGGATTGTACACACCAGAGATATAGAGAAGGTGGAGGTATTCATAAAGCAGGTGACCATCAATTCATTGATCCTGCTCAACCCTCCTCTGCATGCATAGAACAATTATTACACAATTTAGTAACCTTTCATAGATGTTTTTGGAATATGAAATCCCATCTGAAATCAAACTTTACTATTTGCTTTGGTTAGACCAATGATCATTTTAAAATGAAACTATTATTAGCCAAACTACAGCATTAAATCAATCAATGACTCAAATTTCAAATCTTAAATCATTGTAGTTTCAAGGATTTTTGGCACAAGGAATTATCTATTCCCAAATCAATGAATCCATAAAGGTACTTCTTTACCTTTATAAAGGAAAAATACTTCTTTCCATTTTCACAAAGATGAAGAGCAGAAATAGAAACAGAATGATCTCCAGCATTTTTAACCATGGGTAGCAATCAAGAGTACAATACACATAGATTTCAACTAGAATCTAGACTGTAAAGTTCCATAAATCTCAGTGCCTGACTCAGAGGGAGTATAGCAACTGCTGGTGCATGAAATTCTAATACATAAATTTATGAAGACCAACCCAATTAGATATATTTTCACAGGAACACATTAAAATGATCTGGTGAATGTCACCATATGTTTCTATGTCAACACTCCATTTGAGTGAGGAAGGTAACATTTGGGTGAGAAATGTGATGGCTCATAGATGTCGTTTTCTTGCTCGATACCACCAAACCTGGAACCAGACAGCTATGTCCACACTAAATTGGAGAATACCACAAATGATGAATTGAACAGGGGTCTTGCGTAAAATGAAATAAGTCGTCTTGAAGATATCTCCCACAGTCCAGAAAAGCACCATTTTTTGGCTGTAAAAGTGAAAAATCTTAGTTTACTATGATAGGAAACAATTAGATCTTGCCGAAATAGCAAGAGATAAGTCAAAAGCAGGACTAAATATAGATATCTGAAAGCAAAATAGCTGACTATTATATACTTTGAGAGAAGGGGAACTTTCCTTCCTATCGCACAAAAATACCCAAAAGAAACAATTCCAGTTTTGGAGGTATGTTTGACCCCATCTCTGATGTATTCATTTGTGATATAAAAAGGTTATGTCCTGAATAATCTGCATGAATATTAAATTGATACTGATCAAACGGCAATTTAAATCCAACACTCATTAGCTAAATAAGGCTTAAAACATTGTTCATTTGATGCTTTCCCCCCTGGGAGATGCAAAACCAAGGTTAAAGCCATAAGTGATCTGTAAGGACAAAATTAATATTCACATTTCATACATTTCTAAGGAAATGCTATCAAGAGTGTATCAAGAAACTAAAGAACCATAGTGGATATGCAGGAAAATGGAACAGCACATGCCTTCTTTCAAGTTAGTCAAGTCAGAAACTTATCTAATTTTGAGGGAACTAATTATAAAATGTTCAAGATAACAAGATTTTGGCCCTTTATTTTTGAGCACATGATATTATCATCCAGAACTTTGGATTTTATTCAAGAGAAAACACTAATATTTGCAATAAGTTATTGTCAAGTTTAGTTTAGTTTTTACATAAATGAATACCTAGAGAGAAATGAAAATATTATGCTGTAGAGAGACTTTATTGGCATCTTGCATGCCACTAGGGTGCATCAAGAAAAATGGCCAATAAGTATTAGAGAACTTTCAACAGGCCACAAATGAGGGTGGATAAAAATGTAACCAGAAAGAATTTTTTTTTTGTATGTCTTTCTATCCATGACAAAATGATCTTGAGAGAAGGTGCAACGATTTGTCATTCATGCTAGCAATGTACTGGTTTTATCATTAGCCATGAGAGACACCTCATGGTCATTATCTGTACAATTGATATACATCAGTTGCCTAAGATTGCAAGCCTCCACAACAGCAATGTTGTCAGTAGCCATTGAGGAGCTGGGACTGCCCTGTCTTTCTGTCTTTCACACATGTTCTGCCATTATGGAACATGTGTACCCACTGATGCCCCCATCCATTGCCTACATTCTTACATTTTGGCAGCATTCAAACCCTCAGACCTTATAAACAAATCATAGATCACCGTTCAATTTTGGTGCATGTCTCCAATGGTGCCATCATTCTCTAATTAGTCATGCATCTATTCTCTCATGGCAAATGATAAAATTAATGCAAGCTAGCATCAATGATGAATGGTATCACCTACACTCCAAAGCATTTGTCAAAGATAGAAAGACAAATGAGAAAAAAAAATATAGGCCACTGCTATTTGATCCACCCTTGTATGAATTGAATGGAAAATTTTGAGGCGATATAGGTTTGCCAGATAAGTTATTAACAGGGCTGATAATTAGAAACCGCTGGTAATGGCCACAGGTATGGTGCTTTCAGAAGGTTTGCAAGCTGCCGATGCTGATGCCTGAAGAAGAACATATGAAATGAAGAAAAAAAAGAATAAAAAAGTACATGAATGTGCCAAGGTAAATGATTCTCAATAGCAATAGGATATGAGGAGGTCTGTCATGATGCAAGTCACCATCAATAAATTTAAATTTAGGCATCAATGGCTTCTTTTCCCATGGCAATGTGACCCTGCCCCCCTCCCCCCATTCCCTCCTCAATCACAGATGAGAGAAGTAGGAAGAGGGAAAGAGATCTGCACCCCTATTGAGGCAAGGAAAGGTGGATGTCAAACCTTTGCCTGATCAAGACTTAAGATGATTTAATCTCCCCAAGTGTGATGCAGCAATGCACCAACGACAGTTCAGGTCAACGCATCTGTTTTTAAATTAGCCATCTTGACTGTGGTAAAAAAGAAAGAGTAGGACATGGATTCAGAATAGGCTTAATTGAATGAGTATTTGACAAAATTTCAGCTCTATATCTACATGTCTCAATTGGCAGTGGAACTGCCCAATGGGTATGAGATCACAACTGGCCATCAGCCAAAAGGGACCACTGATACAGCCCTAGTTATTAGAAAATAAAACGACCAAAACATGAACTATTCTTGATGACAGAACCAGGACTCCCACCCAATAAGATCATTCAGCCCTTACAGCAGCTGGTAACCATCATATACTTAGCAAAGCTTCTCAGCTTGATATCTATAGACATCAAGCAGAGAAGCTTAGTCATTAAAACTATTAAAATTAAGACCTTAAAAGCTTCCAAAAACACATTGCAGATTTGTGAGGCCAGCAAATGTGATGCCTGTTAACAATAAAATTCTTGATCTCCAATTGTGAACCCAGATTATTATGGGAAGAAGGTTATCAATAAATTAAATTGTTTTCAGGATTACACACACATTCTGTAAAGTATACAATGGGCATATTGTTGGATCAAACCTCATGCCGTGGGTGGATTGATTGTGATAGTTCCTCAGGAACTGTGGAACACCTAGTAAAGCTTCAATGAAGAGAGCAGAAAATCCAACAACTTCCACGAAGATAGAGGCAGCCTGGAAAATATACATCAGTATGCTGCAGAAAGCAGCAAAATATGCTGTACACTGCAGGTATGATCTGAAATCTGTCCACTTCCAGAAGTAGTTTGGATCAAAATCTGGAAAAAAAAAAGAACCAGGAATTAAGTAAGAACTGGATAATTAAACCAATTGAAATAGTTTTTACCCAAAGGTGCAAGTTAGTATCCATAGTCGAAGTAGATGTAGAGCAGAAAAAATTACAGATGGATTGTACCAGCAATTAATCTATCTATAGGCTTTCCCATGGTTTCCTGTTATTTTTCTTGGACAATATCACAAGGAAAATATAGATTCATAAACTAGTAGTAGTAAGTAGGAATCAGAATGACATTAAAAGTCCCAAGAATCCAAATCATTCCCTCCTAACTTTCAGAGACTTCGTGCATTATAGTAAGAGCAAAGATGAGAGTAAGAAATTAAACATCAAATACTAGAAAAGATAAAAGAAAACATACCTGAAAAGGTTGACCTCCATGCATTTTTTCCTGCAAAAGATGAGTACCAAAGTTGTTGGAAATATATATTAGAAGCCATACCCAATCCAACAGGCTAGTAAAAAAACACATCCAGGACCTTTCCCCATCATGCACAAGCACTACACATAACTCAAAAGTGACAAGAAGTTCACTTCTGAGCTGAGCACATTTTTAACCTCTCGACCACAACATATATGGTCACACTATAAGGTAGTTCAAAACTTTAGCTATCATAAACATACAGCATAAAGGATTATACAGTGAAAACTCGTTAACTCGAATCCTGATAAGTCTAAATTCCGCTTATCTCAAAGTTCAAAGCTTGGTCCCGGCGGAACCCCGTAGGACACCATGTTAAATGCTCCGTTTAACTCGAATTCGCTTATCTCGAATTTCCGGATATCTCGAATGAAATTTTCACTCCCGATAACGAATTTCTCACGGTTAACTCGAATTCAGGGTGAGAAGGGGGGAAAAATTTTTCTCTTGGGACTTTTTAAAAAATACTTTTGAATAGGAGGAATGACAAGAAACACGTTCGGGAGGATGTTATGTTGTTTTTTTTTCTGCTTCTCCCTCCTCCCACACAGACGCCTGTGGCGAGGATTAAAACCGAGAAGCTTCGGCTATAAAAAAGCAGCCTTAAAAATTCTCTCTGTCTATCGCTCTCACTCCGAGCCATTCTAGTCATATTCTACTTCCTTTACGCCATTTGTGTGGAGTGAGCCCACTCGAGAGGAAATTGAAGGCTCTGACGCTCGAAGAGAATGTACACTTTATTCGGACTGGCGAAGAAGGCCATTTGAAGAAGAAAGGCATCGCAGAGAATTTCGGGATTCCTCCCTCTACCATTATGCGCAGAAAATATAAGGTTTTGAGTGCACACGAGAAGCGCCTATTTACAGCAAGTTGCAGGAAAATGAAGACAGCCAAGCATGGGAACGTGGAGTTCACACAGTGCCAATCGACTTGTTCGAGGCAGTAGGGAAATTGGAGGACTTTCACTTCTCTATTCCAAGTTCTTTTACAAAGCAAATGAAGATCATTGATTACATGTCAGAAATGGATAAAAACCGAAAGAGCCCCAGATGAAAGGCGTTGCAATAAATTAATTTTACATATGGAGTTTAAAAGTTTCACTCGAGATGAATAAAAGCTAATTATAATGGGAATGTCGTGAAATCGGATTTTTTATGGCGGAATAATCGCCCTCTGGTTATGCTCCTCACCGTGACTTTGTTTTTTTTTTTTTTTTGGGGGGGGGGGGGGGGGGCGATTCCTGATAACTCGAACTTCGGATAACTCGAAACGATTTGCCCGGTCCCTAAAAGTTCGAGTTAACAAGTTTCCACTGTAGTTTTGAAATACCTGATTGCATGAAGTGAAAGTTCATTCAGTTATGCATAGGATTTCCTACTTTTAGCTACCAGTTAAAGATTATTTCTTTATTTCAATATTCTGTAAAAACCAATAGCATGTATCCAATCAGCACTATGTATTAGATGCAGATTGGAGACTGTTACTGCTGCTTCCCTGTCTATGTTGGATACTTATCCAAAGGAACAAAGTTCAACATATTGGTGATGATGACACAGAACATTAAAATGTTTAAATAAATGAGTTCTAGTTGGTAGCTGAAAGTAGGAGTTTCACTGCAGAATTGGAATTGAAATAAACTTTTATGGTGCAGCCTGATTTTCTACAAATATCATTATTGATGCTATGGAGTGGAGCTGAAGTGGCCCTATACACCTTTGTGGGGGTTTTTTATATGTGCTAATCCATACCCACACATCAAGATTTGTGATACTTGGTAGTCAAGATGAATTTGCTTTATTCCCCTTACAAGGCATGTGAAGGGTTAGTCTGATTCTTGGACTGGTTCCTGAAGCTTTGCACAAATCTCTGGCATAAGTGCCATTAGGAGTGAGAAACTTCTTTGCTCCAGTTAACTCATGTGTGGCAATTGAAGAGTTAACTGCAACTGCTGCAAGTGCTGAATGGCATCTTCACCATTTCTAGATGCAGCTGTTCCTGCTCGCACATATAATGCAAATTCTGTCTTGTAATCAGGGCTGCAACATTCTCATGGTGTTTGCTGCAATTAAAAATGTATCTAGAGACTCCAATCTATGTGGGGGACCCATCATTGTTTTGAAGAAATTACATTTAATAAAGTTAGTTTTTCATGTAGGCATTGTAAGAAATCAACTTGTTCCCACTGTTTTATGTGCATTTCTGTGCACAATCCCATTTTAAAAACTTTGAACTTGAAAAACTTTTGATTTCTCCAGGATTGATACTAACCCTGATGAGAAATTCAATGCCTCCTGCAGAGAACAGAACTCAGAAAGCCTCACCAAAACCCTGAGAAGGAAACTGCAAAAGACAGTTACCTGCCAAGGAATGCTCTTCTCTGATGATGATGGCACTATGCTTGACATTTACGCACAGTTGAACCATAGCCAGCATTGCCATAATCATGAAAATACTTTGCAGCAGCAGAGGCACCTCAAATGGATGGCCAAACCTGTAAGTGGAACACCAAATTCCATTGATGGTCATTAAAATCTCAAGCCCAATTTAAAGGACCAAGCACAAGTGTGCTTGGTCCTTTAAACTTGTCCTTGATAAAAAAAAATTATATGAAATACAAAATATAGATGCATGCCTGTTAGAAAATTCACAACCTTGAATTTAAAAAATTGACATTCCAAAAGTAAGATTTTTTTTTACATTCAGTAATTATAAAGTAGATCTCTATAGCACAGGATACTTATTGAGGGCTGTTCTTTCTTCCTTGTTTATAATAATAATAATAATTCATTTTTTTCGATGTAGCTTCAAGTCCCACTGAACTCTTACTGCTAAAATTTTCAGCTAATCTTCATACCTTTTGCAACCATAAACCTAAGGAACAGCATAACCAAAAACATCAAAGCTATAAAACCTGTCCCTATTCACCCATTCAATGACTAATAGAAACTTCCCATTGTAAACATGACTCTCTTTTTCACCCCAACAAACAGGGTGAATAGGGTCTTTCTACAATTTTAAAAATTTGCTGTAGGTGTCATCCTGGTATTCAATATTGTGGTTATGTTAGCCTTGGTTGACCCAATTATCATGAAATTATATAAAAAATGTGAAAGCATATAACAGGTGTTATGAAGTCTCGTATATACACCAGAGAGTACCAACTGCAAAAATCCTACAGTATGTTGCACGATCTTCCTAAAGGATGAATCAATAGCACACCAAGCTTTACAGAGCCTAGATGTCACCACAGAACAAATCTGATTTAGGAGTCCTACAGCCCTGGAGTCCTGAGCTGCATAACCACAGAGGCTATGCAGCTCAGGGAACACTGCAGAAAAAGAATTTGAGGAACACCACATTTCAGAATCTGTGGGATCTGCAAGCAAAGATCATTAAAAAGCAGGATGGCATGACAAAACTGCAGAAACCTGAGAAAACTGCAAAACTGATTCTGCAGGTAATGCAAAGTACCACAACACTCTCAATAGATACACAAGAGAATTCAAGTCTTCTATCAGATGCATGTATGTGACAGTAGAAATGACAAGTAAGAAATTAAAAATGTAAATTTGTATCAATAGCAGTGAGGGCATTTTTCGCATTGATGCTTTAATATGTCAGTAGCAATTAAAGGGCTGACATTTTAGCTCTCTCTCTTAGGGGCACAAATGATCAAAGCACCATGCTAGGCATCTTTTTGGTTCAGCTGGACCAAAAAGTGTAGTATTGGGGTGCAAGATTTGATGTTGGACAAAATACAATCTTTTAGGTTCAATGCATCTACATTAAAAACCAACTGGTGCCTGCATTGAGAAACTAGTAGTCAAAATTCATTCAAACCACAAATTATCCAAATCCAAATTTGCTTCTAAGCATTCGTAGGAACAGAACAGGCTAATTGATCATTGTTTGGGAAAGGTATTGTAAGTCACAAGCTAGGAGCAGCACTTGAACTCACCAGAAGATGATACGAAGAATGTTGGCAACCAGTAAAGAGAGACACACATAGAGGGAGAAACCTTCTGCATTTTCTGTGGACTTGATGACTTGATACTGTGGTATATAGGGGACCACCCCACCGAAGACCATAAGTATTTGGACCAACCATGTCAAGAGGAGCTCAAATGTGTTGAGTGGGACATCTAGGCCTGGTGCTGCCTTCTCATGTGAAATGTCATTCCATGCTTTGGGGCCATCCATATTGCAGAATTCATCTAATGGTGTCCAAGAAGAAAAAAAAAAAAAACTTGTGCTATATTCTTGCATGCTTTTGGATTTACTTTTTTCCCCCTATTATATGTGCAAGTTGTTTTCTATGAGCTCATTTATTGAGTTATTATGTAGCAGTTCCCTTGCTCAGGAAGTGATGCTGCTCCATGAGCTTGACTAACTGCTAAATCCCTTCACCATTAATGATGACAGCAATTTCTAGGTGTGTCTGGAGCACCCTTGACATAAACATTTCTGAAGAACAAGCAGGCATGTTAGAAGGATAAAAGACAACCTGAAAGCACTGTTATATTCACGTTAGGCTAAGGTGAACGAATGCTATCTGATCATACATTACTAATGTCAATCTAAAGCAAGAAGCCCAGCCTAAGCAGTCTACCATGGGCTAGGCCTTTTTGCAAAAAAAAAAACGCGATATGGTTCAGGGAAAAGTACGTTCAGGAAATATAAGCATTGAAAGCCAATCATCCTGTCGAAATAGGCCCTCACGAGAACTGAAAGTTTTAGGTGCAGGCGAAGAAATAAATTGGGTTAGGGAAGGAAAACCGGAAAACAAGGGAGGGAAGGAGTTGGGTAGCTGAAGCCAACAGTTCTTAGAATTCAATATGTACGACTAGCTTCCTTATATCATGGGCTTTAATGACGGATCAAAAGGAGGAAGGATGGTAGATTGGGTACTTACATACAAGACTATATGCAGCTTACTTGGCGGAGTTCCAATGGAGATCCCCCACGTGTTAGAAGAATGTGGGCGAGTAATTTATCAAAATTTTCAATAGAGAGATGTCGCTGGTGTATATACGGCTGATAAAGTGCTGATGTACGAGTGCCATCTCTCTTTCAGCTTTTGAATTAACTGTAATTTTTGTTATTCGCTTCAGTTCCTCAGAATGGAGAAAATGTCATAAAATAAGTCAAATAAATAAACATAAAAGCTGCGGTAAAAAAGGGTTAAAAATATGAAGACATGAACAAGAAAGCTGAGTATGTGATAGAACAAAATAAATATGTAATTCTCATAATTAATGAATAAAATAAATACCTGATATATAATAATAACATAAATGACTAAAACAATTTCTCCCAAGGTTGTTTTTATAAAACCACTGACAGGAAAGGTTGAGGTCTGGATGTTACTGCCTATGATTAGTTTATCCAAAAATGATGATTAAAAAAGAGTTGATAATTGCACACATACTTACGCTTAGGATTTAGAGCTAATGCGCATACAGCAGCATCATCTCTCTATTACATTTTTGGATAAACTTCCGGGTGTGGCAAAACCCTCGAGTTTGAACCTTGAAAGTCACCCTGGCGTCACGAACTATCATTTCAGGACCCTGAAGAGTCTGAATTCCTAAAGTCTGCATATCACAAACGGTGAATATACAATAGTCCCTCGCTTTACACGGGGGATGCATACCGGCTTCCCTTGCTTTACACGTGTTCTTTTTACACGGATTCGTAATTGCATTTTTTTTTTAATACCAAAAATTCAATAAACTCAAACCATGTATCTGTGAACCAGACCCCGAGCTTTCCGAATTATTGGTAGTAAAACAAATACCGTGCAATTGCGAATCCATGTAAAACGAACCCTTGTAAAGGGAGGGAAGCCTGTACTGGGTATGGAAATAAAAACCTCCCCTAGTTTTAGTCCTGAATATAGGAAAGCCAACCTCGAAGGGAAGAGCACGATCGTTGAAATACAGTGTTGTTTTCGCTCCCTTAGGTCCGCCGTTAACTAGTCGCTGTAACTTCTGAATGGTACAGAACCCATCATTCCCATGGAGTGAAGTCCTCTGGGTTATTTATTTATTTTATTTTATTTGATTATTATCTTCTTTTTTATGGGGGGGGGGGGGGGGGTGAAAAGCGTTCAACAG